TGCTAGCTGGCAGGTAGTCTCTGATTGTTAATGAGGTTCACCTTGGGCTTCTCTGAATCTGGTGGTGTTAAATTTCCGCTGGAGGGGCAGTTGCTTCTTTCCTGGGCTAAAACTGTTTTGGGGAAGGTGCTTTTTTGAGGTAGATGACTACTGTATTGTTGGGGGGGTGACTCAGCATAGAGCTCCTGAGAGCCTCCTTCCCAGGTTTCATCCCAGTTCCATGAACACCCTACTCTCCTCACACAGTTTCAGTCCAGTCTGGCCTCCCTCTGCTGGAGCCCACGTTGAGTGACAGTAGCTGTAATTCAGTGCACTGGCCTTCAGTGAATGCTGGTCTTCCCTGCACCTCTCCCTACCTGATAAAACCTGTGCTGTGGTAATTTTCTCAGCCAGGTGTTATGTGGCTTTCTCTGTTCTGCCACTGTGTGCTGGAGAGCTGGCTTGGGTTTAAACCCTCAACTTCTCAGAGGGAACTGCTCACAGTTAAGACAGACCTCAACTGCTGCCCACGAGCACCCACTCAGCCATTTTGCACCTCCATAGCTCCTACCAGTCTTGATTTGTGTCCTCCTTACATCCCTGGTTATTAGGTTTCTTTCCAGCTGCAATTCAATTGTTTTTTCAGATGACTTGTGTTTATTTTAGTTGTAATTCTAGTTGAGTCCTGGGAGACGGTCTGTGTAGCTTTCATTCACTTCACTGCCATTTCCCCCTGATCTTAGGGGTTTTTTTGTTTTGTTTTTTTATCCTCACCTGAGGACATTTTTCCATTTTTTTGTTCAGCTAGAATTGGAGGGGGAGAGAGAGAGAGAGAGAGAGAGAGAGAGAGAGAGAGAGAGAGAGAAACATCAACATGAAAGGGACGCATCGAGTGGCTGCCACCTGCACAACCCAACCAGAGCCAGGGACAAATTGCAACTGAGTACGCGCCCTTAGCGGGAACCGAACATGGGTCTCTCTGGACCGCAGGCTGACACTCTTAACCGCTGAGCCAAACTGGCCAGGGCTGATCTTAGTTTTTTAATGAAAGAATGACGAAAACATCACTGTCCTAAGATAACACCTGTTTCATTTTTTTAAATATAAGAGATGTACAACTTTACTAGTAATCAGACAGTGCTAATTTAAATAACAGTGAAATTAGATAACAAATATCAGAAAGTTTGATAATAGTGGGTATTGGTAAAGATGTCTGGAAACAGAATATCATACAGTATTGTTGACAGTATACATCAGTAACACCTGTTTTAATTCTGACAACAACAAACACTATTTCTTCATTAATTATAGGCTTCCTATTTATGTAAAACCACTTCTCATACTTATTAGTTATAGAAATCATGTGTTTTTAAGACAGGCTAGAAAAGTCGTGTTTAATCTATTTAGACCTAAGAACTTTTTCTTTGTTTACTAAAAATACAATGACAGTTTAACAGACTTAAGCTGTAGATATTGTTGGCCAGATGTAAGAATTTGTTGAGATTTTATTCTTGGCTTAGGGCTTCTGATTTCTATATGACAACTCATTATTATCCACAATCTGTAAGATATTTTAATTTTCAGTTGAATATATCTTATCAGTGGTAGTAAGTTGTTTAGTTTGTAATGCCATTTTCACCCTTTTACCTGATTTCACACCAATAACATTCAGTCCCTTTATCCTGATTATTTACTGGTTTCTTACTCTTTTCTGAATATAGGCATGGCTGGACTCCCTTGTTTTGAATCAGATGCAAAAACTTTTTTTTTTTCCATTATACTACCAAATCTTATTACTGCCTCCTCTTCTTTTCACTAATTTACCAGACTTGTCCATCTGCCACTTCACTTCCTCAGTCATGCATCCCCATATCTCCAGCTAACTATAAGACTTGAAGACTTGACTTGGATTTTTCTCTCAAGGGCTAAAAATTAATTAATCTGTCTCCTGTCATTTTAACTGAGAAAGCCACATAGTGAGAAAGAACAATCATATTTGACAAAGGCCTGATATTGAATATTAAGAACTTTTACAAATCAGTAAGAAAAAAAGAGGCAACTCAATAGTAAGAGTGAATGGAAAACATGATGAAAACCCTGAACAGCCATTTCAAAGAATAGGAAACATGAATGGCAAGCAAACATGAAAAGGTGTCCAAACTCAGTAGTAAATCATTAAAACCACTGTGAGATGCCTTTTCATACTCAACTAATTAGCATATATGAAATTATGACAGTTTCAAAGATTGGCAAGGATATGGAGCAATGATCATTTTCATATTTGGTGGGAGTAAATTTTGGAGCAGTCACTTTGGAAACAAATTTGGAATTACCCAATAAGATTAAACATGTGCACATCCTGTGACCCAACCATATACTGCTAGTTATTTAGCATTTGTTCTCTAAGTGACATGCACAAAACTGTTTCAAACAATCATGTTTGGAATACCAAAAATACTGGAAATAACCAAATATTCATAAATAGTATGATTGATAAATAAATTATGGTACATTATATCAGTATAATACTACATACCTGGAAAGTAGGTGAACTCTACTTACATTAATCAGTAAGGGTAAATCTAAAACACATAATTTTGAATAAAAATGCTCCACACAAGAATTCTATGGTATCGTTATAAAGTTACTAGTTAAGGTTTTTCGATGTCAAGTGAATTTTGTGGCTTTCCTCTTTCAGTCTGGAAATACAGAATTCAGCAGAGGAAAACAAAGTTAAGGTCAAAAGTTTTGTTAGAATTAGTTAATATGAGTATTTGATTGAAGGTACATTGACTAATACTAGCTTGCTGCCAGTTAAACACTATTTTCATAATAATAATAAAGCTAGCTCATATTTTGAGTATTTTACACATCATAATTATATAATTCCTGTAAAAGTTCAAATGTACAGAGACTAATATAAGACAGATATTAGGATAAAAGTTTATAAAAAGAATGTAGAAAGAGATAAACCACTGACACACTCTAGAAACTCAGAACTTTCTAAGGTTATGAATATGGATTCATGTTGTTGCTTTTAGTGTTCTCCTGATAGGATTGGCTAATACTAAAACATGGGAAGATGAAGAGAACCCTGCAGACTCTTATAACTCTATGATCTTTTTCCAGTTGTTCTATAGACCACTGCATGTGAGAGTGGGCCCAAGAATGAAAGGAAAGATTGATGTGTTCTTTTAAACATTTAATTCTACAAACAGCTCTGGAGTTTCCTTTTTATTTTCCAACCCTTCCTACTTTTTGCCATCTGGTATTTATTTATTTATTTTAAAATCCTCACTACAAGATATTTTTTCATTTATTTTCAGACAGAGTGGGAGGGAGAGATAGAGAGAGAGAGAGAAACATCGATGTGAGAGACATACACATCGACTGGTTGCCTCCCACATGACCAGGGCCAGGGACCAACCACAACCGCCATCTGGCATTTAGAATATGACCTTATGTTTCCACATTTTCTGCTTTTACAAAGTTAGAGACTCTCTATGAAGTTAGAGTCTATAAAGAAATGGGTATATTCAAGGAGTTGGGGAGCATATTATTATGGGCTGGTCATTCAATTTACTGAAACTCATCAAACGCACTCAATTTTAAAGCCAATACTGAAATATAAAGGGTGTGTGACTGTGGGATGAGGGTGGGGATTGTTCTGTATTGCTGAAAGCAGGATCCCCTCATTAAAATTGCATTGTATAAAACACAAAAAACAAAACAAAATCAACCAACAACAACATACCAGAAATAATTGTGGTAAAAAGTCACAAATATTTCTGAAATTGGATGAATGTCCTATAACATTGGTCTTAAATTATTTTATGATGTCTTGAAGTCCTCCAGAAATAGAAATTTTCTTCAATCTTTTTTCACTTGACACAAAATTCTAAAGCAGTGATTTTCAATTTATGTGCCTCAAGAATTTTTTTAAAAATGCAAAACCTGAGGCACTGACAGAAATTAAAAAATGACAACAACCAACACAATAGCCATCTGGTGTGAATGAATCAAAATTAATACCTTTTTTTGTTTTTGTCAGATTGGCAAAAAACATTATATATTTTTTCTTATGTCACAGAATTTTAGTAATTAGTGTATGTAAGCCATGAGATAAAAAGGTTTAAAATCACTATTGTAAAGGAAGGAAGTTTAGAATGTGGCGTACTAAATCTATAGTTTAGGCTCTGTTTGACTTCTCTCCTTTTTATATCAGTTCATGAAATTTGGTAAATGTTGTTTAGAGAGGGATTATTAGAGATGTCTCCGGAAATAATAGAAATGTAAAGTACTCTGCCCCACACAGGTAGTCAGAAAGCAGTGATAATGTGTCATTATTCACATTTGTTAAGCTACAAATCCTTTGTTGGAAATAGGCAGAAAAACTTGGATTCCAGAAACAATGGTTAGACCCAAATAGTCTTAGTTTTAGTTTAATTCTTGTGAAACCAAAAATATTTGAGACCATGAAATTAACTCAGTTGTATAAAGCATGCTGATTCCAGTTTAATAGATTCCAATTTAACTGTTGATTCAGTTATTCAATAATATACTGAATATGTATTTTTTTTCTCTCAATTTTAGAACAGATCAATGCAAGAGTTGAAGGAAATTTCTGTTTCTGAAGGACTTCAATGTCATGGAATCATTTTAACCTCTGTTATAGAGAGCAATAGGTTATAGAGAAGATGGATATACAGGAAGTGGGACCTAGGACCAAGTATTGTTCCACAGTGTGTGGGAGTAAAAATCTCAATCACATGCACACATGCATGTATATACAACTACAACCGTTTGTTTTTTTATATGGAGTATCTGCTTCTAAAGATGGTTCATCTAGAATTTAACGAGGTTTTTTTTGAGCTTTCAACCCACAAAAGACTTCTGACAACATGTCATTTGGGTTCTAGATTCCTCACTTTGATCAACTCATTATTTAGTCTATTGATGATTTATACATTTTATGTTCCTTCTTTTTCTTACTATGTGTCTCTTCCCAATTGAAAATGAAGATTGCTGTGTCCACTGTATCCTTGCCTGCTTGTTTTGTGAATTCCTGACCCTCTGCAATATTGTCCTGGGACAAGCTTCATGTGGCATCTGTACCTCAGAAACCTGCTGCTGTTGCTGCGGAGATGACATGGGGGATGACTGTAACTGCCCTTGTGACATGGATTGTGGCATCATGGATGCCTGTTGTGAATCATCAGACTGTTTGGAAATCTGTATGGAATGCTGTGGAATTTGTTTTCCTTCATAAATATTTATCTTTTATTTGTGTTAAAACTGGAGAGTGTTTAAAAAAAATTTTTTTAAGGAAGAAGAAAAGCACATGGCAAGATTCTCATGAAACAAGCAACCTGGTATTTGCATTATTAATTCATTTTAAGTAATCTCTGAAAGACTTTTTTTCCTTGTAACTAAATCTACATGGTTTAATATGTGAAACTTTAACTACTTTTAAACTTCTTAATAGGAATCAATGACTAAGGAACATTTTGACCAAAAAAAAAAAGCTAAATGTCTTTTTTTCATACATATTTCTATTTCTTTTAATCTTTCTTGACAGGTTTTTGCTCCAAATTTATTATTTTTCAGTGGGTATTAATAGTAGATTATTTTTGATGTGTATTTGTTAATGGTTAACAGTAAACATTTTTACTTTAAAATAAATTTTGGGAAACAAATAAAATAAAATAAACTTTGGAAAACAAATTCAAATAGTATTTGGATACCCAGTATTTATCTTCATGTTCTGTTCTCCACTTTCTCCATTTGTTCAACAAACATTGAGTGTCTACTGTGTGTCACCTGCTGAGGCACAGAGATGGATGTCATTCAGTTTTCAGTAACAAGAGAATACAGTTTAGCACAGGAAAGATACCTGTAAAACATGAACCACAAGAAATACTGAAGTAAGGATTATAAGAGAGAGAAACTCAAAAGATTATAGGAATAAAATACACAGAAAACAACAGCTAGTACTTGTTGGAATATGCAGAAGGCTTTAAGGACAATGTGGCATTTGAGGAAGCCTCTTTGATAAGTGATCCATCTGCTATTTGAATGAATTATTTGGCTTTCGGATAAAGTTTTAGGTGAGTAGCCTGAACTGTGTGTGTCCTTAAGCAGTTAAAGAAAAAATGTCTTAAGTATGTATTTTCTTTAGTTGTAAGACTATAGCTTTTTTTTTTTTTTTTTTTTTAAAAAGCTATAAAATTTAACTAAAAATACACATTTTTAACACATAATTTAAAAGTTATGATAAACTTTTGGATAAAAACATATGGCCTATATAATAAAGAATGTGAAATACTTTTGACACATTGCATTTAAATTAGATTTTTAATATTCAAATCTCAATATTTTTATTTTGATTTATTCAAAAGCTATCTTTTTATTTGAGAGTTATCCCCCCCACACACAGGGAGAGGCTTGTATGTTTGTTTTGGTTTGTTTCTTAAGCAATGTTATATTTTATAAACACAGTTAACCTTCAATGCAAACTGTTCTTCCAAAGCAGTGGGAGTCTTGACATCCACCACTGTGACCAATTTCAGTATTGCAATTTTATGTTAAATTAAACTAATATGCAGGTTATAAAACCTTATGTGTACAGAAATAAGTCAATTACAAGACTGTGTATATTGCTATTCAGATAGAGACTTTGTATTGCAAAGATAAAAGGAAGAGGACTTTTTCACAGTGTGTGGTCTCCAAGTTTGACCTTCCCAAAGTTGCAGGTTAGCTTGATTTAGTAGAATTCCTTGTAGAAATTTTGAAAATATATTTTGGGTTAATAGTTATTTCAATGTTTCAAGTTGAATATGAAATTAAGAGTAAAAACAAGTGCACATTTTTTGGAAGCTTTTTAGCAAACCTGGCCTTTTAAGAGAGTTTTAAATCTAAAACATGGCAATGCCAGCTATGGTTTTTCCTTTGAGATGAAACCCAGCTTCTACTTATATCTTTATTTAAAGGGCTTCAAAAAAGTTAGCAAATTCTTTACTCCCCTGTTTATACACGTATCTACACTCACAACTTTAAATTTTCTGGTTTAAATAGAATTCTAGTAAATGTCTGTCATTCTCTTCCTTGTCTAAAGAATGTGTTTCATTTGTTACATAATATATAAGAACGTCTTGTACTGTTTCTTAGTAACCAGAATCTGAATATTTACATATACCATTACCTTAGGTGTATATATTAGGATGTAAGTGTCATCCGTATATTGACATATAAAGCCTTCTAATGACCTGAAATTGCTAAAATATTTCACTTTTCATTCTGCAAAGTTTTTCAACTAAGTGGTTTGTCTAATACTTAAGTATATTCTACTATTTGCAATAAATGTATTAACACTTTTAAAATAATGTTTCTCTGTAACAGAGAACACTAATAGAATTTTTATTTTCATATGTGTACCCATAGTACTTTTCCTCTATTGTTCTCTTTGCAGTCATTCCATAAAGTACCTTGTATTACTTTTTAAAAGATCAATGAAAAAAATAAATAAAAGTAAGCAATTGTGAATTTCTGTATGTAAAATGTTTTATTTAATTATATAGCCATTATGACTAAGTGCTGTACTTACAGTTATAGATTTGGTCTCTTTAAATGTAGAAACAATCTTATTCTACCTGTATTTTCCTGAGTACATTATTTTGAAATAAAAAAAAGACCTCTTGTCTTGTGCATCAGAATATTTTGTAGGCATGTTCTATGTAATTGATATATTAATGGATATTTGAAAAAATTCAACTCTAATTTTAAAACCTGAGGCTTTTATCATTGTTACTTCCATTCTTGAAGATTTTTCTAGTCTCCCTATGTAAATCACATCACTTAACACCCCTAGTGAACTATGAAAAATTCAGATCAGTTTATACTACAAATCACAGTTGACATGATTTCAAAAGATAGTATTCTTTAAAAGATTCATAATAGGTCAAAATGTAAGCTCTGTACCTTTTTCTTTTAGTAACTTATTTATTTATTTATTTTTTTCAGAATTATCTCCCAATTTATAAAAATTAAGGTAATTTTTTATATGTGCTTAGATTAAACATGAAAGATATATGAAATTAGGTATTATACTTAATGAATTTTACCCAAAAGTAAATCATCAGAAATATTTTCATCTAGGGTTTTTGTCACAATTTTTAAATGCTAAGAAAAATTTTAGTTAGTGTTTAGCCCCCTCCAAAATCACTTAATTTAGGACAAATTTTTTATGTAGAAATATAATAATTTTATTTTTGTTTTCTTACAGTATATCAGCTCTATCCATTTCCTCACCTGAAATAATCAGTGTTTCTTAAACAGTTCAAGGAGTAACCAAGGAAACCTTATGAAATAATATTTCATTCTTTATGCAAACTTTATCAGTGCTCTAGATTCTAATGCTATAAACATCATTTTATATCCTTAGATTTACCCAACCACATAATGAATAAGTTTATTTATTAATAAGATTATTTTTCAAATTATTCAAGACCTTTTCAATTACTTGTGATTTATAGGCCTGTAGGTTTGTTACAGCTAATCTGACAGGCAAGATAAAATTTCACCAAATACTAAAGTAGCAATTTTTCTCATCCTTTTAAATTGATATAATAAGGCATACATACCATTTTTGTTTTCAAGGGTGGTTAATATGTTGATAGGTTTATTCCAAACCATATTTATATTTTTAAATCAAAGATTAGTTACTACAAGAAGAATTCTTTTAACCATTTCCATGGCTCATTATAACCAGTAACTTTAGTGACTTTTCTATAGGTACCTCAGGAGAGTCATATAACCCTCAGGAAGTTTCAAACTACAGAAATTTGGTACTTTCCATGAGAAAAATCATAGTTTCAACAGGATGCTACTAATATTTACTTATTTAAAGTTACTTGTAGAGATTTTTGTTAAAATGGAAGAGGTTGTGGAGAAGGGATAATATTATGATACAGCCCTAATGTGGAAGATGGTTTTGCAAAAAACTGATAACTAAATCAACCATGTATCTTAACACTGCAAAATTCCCAATGAACAATGTCTGCTCCCTCTACTTTATTTATTTTATTTTATTTTTCTTCATTGATGGTAGAGACAGAGAGGAAAGGAGAGGGAGAGATAGAAACATTGATGAGAGAAAATATCGATTGGCTATTTCCTGTGCACCCCCCACTGGGGATTTGGCCCACAACCTGGGCATGTGCCCTGACTGGGAATCAAACTGGCGATCTCTTGATGCATGGGTCGACATTCAACCCCTGAGCCACACCAGCCAGGCTGCTCCTTCTACTTTAAGTGACTGGGTATTCAAATATTTAATAAATAATCAAATTTTAATGAAGTCAGTAGTCAATCTGGAGAAGAAAAAATTATGAGCTACAGCTGAGCTCCACCTAGAAAGCATGATCTCTAGGCAGGCAGAAATCTGCACCAACACATTCTTCATTGAACTAGGACAATAGTGTGACATTTTCTACTGGCTGTACAACCAATCCTCTCAAGCTGCCAGATGTCAACATGAGCAGTTTCTTGCCTTCCAACTGACTTTGACTACTAGTTCTAGTTCCATTGTTTGTCCATTAATTATGCCCTCTATGCCTTACTTACCTCAGTCTTCGCTGAAGGATTCCTGAATTTAGTTGTGAGGTGACTGTGAAGAAATAATTTTAGATACCCATCCTTTGGCACATGACTAATGTGGGGCATAGATATATGTGTTAAAGGCTAAGTATAGCTCTGCAATTAAGTGTTCACTTCCAGGAAGATTTTTGTATGAGTTTCATTTGAGAATAATTTTTAGGAAAATAGTGAAACACAAATTCAAACAAATTCTAAGTTTAGCTTGAAAAATTGAAAAGGTTTTTAAGTTCTATCTGATGCATAAAGGGGTAAGAAGCAAAGGAATTACATTCCAAAGCCAAGAAAGAGAGTGTACAAAAGCAGTTGATTCACTTGACAGAGTTCATAGCTTTTTGCAAAGGAATAAGAGCCTGTTGAGCAGGGGACCAAAAGATCTCATTATAGGATGAAGCAAAGCCATATTAAAGCTTGTGCACTAGTAACTATGTCTAAAAACAGCCTGCTGTTTTATATTGAACCAATACATTTCTTAACTTTGCAGGTTTCTGCGTAAAGATGTACAGAGCCTGTCTGCTGGATGCTATGCCAATTACAGATATGGTGGAGTGGTGCCAGACACCTACAAATAGTTAGGATCTCAAGCGACCTAGAGCGAAACAAAAGTTTTAAAATGTCACCTCAAAACCTAGAAAGCACAGTTC